AAGGACCGACAGACAGACAGACCGACATTAGCAAAACAATATACCCCCTCTTCTTCGAAGGAGGGCATAAAAATCCACATGCAAAACCCAAGGTGCATAGCTTCACAGTGATGTCGATCATTATTTCTGAAAAATTGGTTGATTCTAACCCAAGCACTTAAATTCAATGATCAAATAACAAAAATAATGGAACAGTTTTTACTAAGTCAAGGGCAATAACTCTAGAAATACTGGATAAATATACAAGCGAAACCCCAGGTGCACAACTACACATGGTGACCAACATTCCTTTAATACATTTTGAGCTACACACAGAACAAATTAAAAATTGCAAAATTTCACTAAGTCAAGGCAATAATTCTGACAAAACAGAAAAGATACACAAGCAAATCCCCAGGTGCACAACTGTACATGCTATTCAACATTCCTGTAAAGTTTCATGACCCTAAGTCAAATATTTTTTGAGTTATGTGCAACACCAGTAAACTGTTGAAAATTGCAAATTTTCACTAAGTAAGGGCAATAACTCTGACAAAAGAGAAAAAATCCACAAGTGAAACCCCAGGTGCATAACCTCACATGCAGAGCAACATTCCTGTAAAGTTTCATGCCTCTAGGTCAAATACTTTTTGAGCTATGTGCGACAATTTGAAAATTGCAAAATTTAACTAAGTCAAGGGCCATAACTCTACCAATACTAAATAAATCCACAGGAAAATACCCAGGTGCACAACTTTACATGCTGATCAACATTCCTGTAAAATTTCATGACCCCAATTAATTCAAATCCTTTTTAAGCTACCTGGGTCACAAGTTGAAAATTGCAAAATTTTAATAAGTAAAGGGCAAATACTCTGACAAACCAGAATAAATCCACAAGCCCTAGGTGTACAACTTCAAATGCTGCGCAACATTTCTGTTAAGTGACATGACTCTAGGTCAAATACTTTTTGAGCTACTTGCAACACAAGTTGAAAATTGCAAATCTTTACTAAGTCAAGGGCAATTACTCTACAAATACTATATGAATCCACACGAAAATACCAATGTGCACAACTACAAATGCTGAGCAACATTCCTGTTAAGTTTCATGACTCTAGGTTAAATACTTTTTTAGCTACATGCGACACAAAATGAGAACGGACGGAAGGACACGGGTAAATCTAAATGCCCCCCCCCCCCAATAGTGGGGGCACAATAAAACCTACTAGGTACATACTTTGGTGTCATATGCTTAAGTTTTATCAAAATAAAAATTGGGGCCGATTTTCACTTAAGAAAAATTGGTCAAAGACAGAAATGGCCTGGTTGCATTAATTTTATATACCAAATATCATGAGGCTGTGATGTTATGAATATTTCTACCATTGACCATTAATGAAGAAAATTAAGTATAGCATGTAAACAGGAAGTGGATAAGCTGAAATCTAAAACCACAGTATGGGACCACATGTTAATGCTGTATACCAAATATCAAGAGGCTGTGATAAGTAAATGTAGTTGCAGAGAAAACTATAAAAAAAATTCTATCTTTCACCAATTATGTCTAAAATTTAACTAAGTCAGTAAAAAGGAAGTGGATGAGCGACAGACCTGAAATCAAAGCCCAAAGTATGGTACCATGTTTTTATGCTGTATACCAAATATCAAGAGGCTTTGATAAGTAGTTGCTGAGAAAACTATTTCGAAAATTTCCTACCATTGAACATGAATGTCGAAAATTTAACAAGTCCGTAAACAGAAAGAGGTTGAGTGACAGACCTGAAATCAAATCCCACAGTATGGGACCACATTTAAATGATGTATACCAAATATCGAGAGGCTGTGATAAGAAGTTGCCAAGAAAACTGTTAGGAAAATTTCCTACCATTCACCATTAGTGTCGAAAATTTAACTTAATCGATAAACAGGAAGTGGATGAGCGACAGACCAAGAGGCTGGATAAAGTAGTTGCTGAGAAAACTGTTACAAAATCTCTTTTCCTCGCCTGCCCATTTGCCCATCCACAGCCTGACATTAACTATACTATAATCCAGGTTTGCAACTGTGCAACCTGGCCAAAAAGCAGTCTAGAAATGTGTCCTTAGGACAAGGGCGCCCCCCACACTCCACTTTTTGTCAATCTACTAAGTCAAGGGCAGTTACTCTACAAATACTGAATAAATCCACAATCAAACCCCCAGGTGCACAACTACAGATCCTGACCAACATTTCAGTCCAGTTTCATGACTCTAAGTAAAATACTTTTTAAGCTACACATGACCCAAGTTGAAAATTGCCAATTTTTTTTAATTCATTGACAATATCTAAAAATACTGGATAAATTCACAAGCGAAACTCCTGGTGCACTTCTACACATGCTGACAAACATTGCTATGAAGTTTCATGACTCAGATCAAATACTTTTTGAGCTATGTGTGACACAAATTGAAAATTGCAAATTTTTATTAAGTCAAGGGCAATATCTCTTAATCCACAAGCAAAATACCAGGTTAAAAACTTCACATGCTAGTCAACATTCCAGTAGTTTCATGACCCTAGGACAAATACTTTTTAAGCTATGCGTGACACAAGTTGAAAATTGCAGATTTTTACTGAGTCAAGGGCAAAATCTTATTATATACTGAATAAATCCACCCCCCAGGTGCACAACTACACATGCTGAGCAATATTCCTGTAAAGTTTCATGACCCTAAATCAATCACTTTTTGAGCTAAGTGATAAACAAGTTAAAAAATACATTTGTTTTAAGTCTAGGGCAACAACTCTAACAAAACCTAATAAATCCACAACCTAAACCCCAGGTGCACAACATCACATGCTCATTAAAGTAATCCTGTAAAGTGTCATGACTCTAGGTCAAATACTTTTTGAATGTCAAGCGACACAAGTTGAAATTGCAAATCTTTACCAAGTCAATGGCAATAACTCTACAAATACTGAATATATTCAGATGCAAACACCCAGGTGCACAACTATACATGCTGACTAACATTCCTGTAAAGTTTCATGACTCTAGATCAAATACTTTGTGAGCTACGTGTGACACAACATGAGAAGGGATGTACAGACATGGGTAAATCTTAATGGCCCCCACCATAGTGGGGGCACAAGAATTGAATTGATTGAATAGATGAATAAATAAATACCGCAAAATTTGAGACAAAGGCAACATTGTTGCAAAATACGCCCGTCACAAAAGCTTTTGTCAGGGATGTGGGCATTATAGATTTGCATATATACAATATGCTCTAGGCAATATCCCGACAATATCTGGATATTTTATCATCTTTAGTGACCTTGACCTTGCAAATATTAACCTAAATTACATGTGTCACACTTGTAGTCATGATTGTTATCACGTGTGTTACAATCCATCAATAAATGATGACGGTACCCTTACACAAACTTACCTCTCTATGTGACCTTGACTTTGGCAGCAGGAACCTGGATTATGTGCGCAATACTTAGCTTCACAATGGTTGTCATGATAATGACCATTAATGTTTTTAAATCCCTCAATAAATGATGACTAAATGGTCTGAATACACATTTTCATTTTTTTATCTGAACTTTAACACCTATGTGTGACCTTGACCTTGGCCGCAGGGATAGGACACTCAGCCTTACAATGGTGAACATAATTATGTACCAAGTTATACTGAAATCTCGCTATACATGTAGAAGTTTTGCTCTTGACAAGAGTTTTTCAATGACCTCAAGTGTGACCTTGACCTAGAGTCCTGGTTCATGCGCAGGACACTGCTTCTCATTGTATTGAACATTTCTATGCAGTTTCATTAGAATCCCTCCATGTATGTAGGAGATATGCTCTTAACAAAATCTCTATATTTAACACCTTTAGTGACCTTGACCTTGCATATATTAACCTAAATTACATGTTTCACATGCGTAGTCATGATAATGACCATTTCCATTTCAACCCCTCAATAAATGAGGACTTAATAGTCCAAATACACTTTTTCATATTTTTATCTGAACTTTGACCCCTATGTGTGACAATGACCTTGGCCGTAGGGACCTATATTTTGCACACTACACTCCACCTTACAATGGTGAACACTTGTGCCAAATTATATTGAAATCTCTGTATGCTTGTAGAAGTTTTGCTCTGGACAAGCGTTTTGCAATGACTTCCAAGTGTGTCCTTGACCTAGAGACCTGGTTTATGTGCATAACACTCCTGTTCTTAGTGGTGAATAATTCTATTTAAAATTCCTCAATGTTCAAAGGAGATATGCTTCCTCAATGTTCAAAGGAGATATGCTCTGGACAAAAATTGGATGCCAACCATCAGGCCGCCATACCTACCCCCCCCCCCCCACCCCGCCGAGGGAATCTAAAACAAGAGGGCCATGATGGCCCTGAGGTCGCTCACCTGTAAGTTAAAGTTTACGGCCGGATGGACGGACGCCGGACGAAAAGCGATCACAAAAGCTCACCCTCTCACTTTGTGACAGGTGAGCTAAAAACTAAAACTATAATACGCCCGTTCAAACAGGCGTATAAAAAGGGAAATATTTTCAAAATTAAGGGCACTTATAAGTTCTTAAACTCAAGGCAGACATTAGCTGACTAAAACTGAATGCAAGTTAAGCCTTGAATTCAAAATCTTTTTAAAGACTTTATTGCAAAGGAGAAGTCACAAAATCACAATAAAGGTCATTTGGAGACTTTTCAGTTGTAATGAAGGAGAAAAATATCAGGTACCCTTCAGTGCATTATTTCTTGCACCGGAGTAGAACCACTAACATTCTGTAAGCTAGCTGTAGAAGTTCCTCACATAAAAGAATCTTAAGTCTCTGTTAAGATTCATTCTTACGGAGGTGAGGGACAAGTAGTTTGAAGTCTTAACCAATGGGTCGATGACATCCCTAAATATCTACTATATGACAGTCATCACGAACTACCTTATCAGCAAAAATAAAATTGCTATCATATGACACGTATTAACAATTACATTAATAATTTTATTTCAATTAAATAATCTTACTAGCAGCCTGAAAAGTAACAACTGTTGTAATACGTGATGACCCTTGTTGTGTTTGATCGTTGATTGAGATGATTGTAACTGTATAAGCTCTACCAGGATCTACTCCTCTTGTCATTGTGTATGATGTACTATTGGAGGCTAGGTCTGCTGACTCAGTATTTACAGTGTTATCGTAGGTTGGTCTCCAAGTCATTTGAAATCTGTTGATGTACTGTTTATAGTTCTCGGGTATTGTCCAAGTAACTGTTATTTTATCAATTTGTATTGAACTGAAGACAACATTGCTCACTTGTAGATTTGACACTGAAATTATTGAGAAAAAAATGAAGAGGAAAGAAAAATAATTGTTCACAATGTCGTAAGTTCTTTCAAATTATATACAATGTAAATAAACATATCTTAAAAACATTGCAATGTTCCCAAAAGGAAATAGTACAAAATCGTAAATAAAAGTACATGTGTTGTTCTCTACACATGCTTCAAGATTCATAAATACTTTCAAGATTCAATTAAAAGTTTTGGGTATCCCAAAATTTTACAGGATTTTAATAACATTCCTTTGGCAGTCTGTTGCATATCTGCATCCCTCTGAGGCATATCAAATGATTAAACATTAAAATAAAATTCCTATGATAACTGCTATCTATCCATCTATCCATGTATCAAATTAAAAAATATTACGTATATCCAAAGTCAAAGAGACGTAAACTTTCCTTTAGACATTTCACTTAAAGTATGACTTTCAAACAAGCTCATTTTCTGCCATAGAAAGAAAACAAAAACAATAACCTTTCACTGCGAACAATACAACTACGAGGAATAATCCAGAATAACCTAATTTTTATTATTAAGTCAATACTTTTCTTGTTGTCTTAAATTAATACCTATGTTAAGTTCAATGTTTCATTTATCAAATCTTAAAATGTTATTTATTTGATAATTTCAAGTTTTGTTTCAATCTGCTTTATAATAACAATACAAGTAGCACAGCGGAGCAGATCATAGAACTTGAAATACGCTGACATTGTAAATATACAAAAGCGTCTGATACCAACGTGGATTTTGTCGAAATTTTACGGGAACTTGGATCTACGTTAAACCAGAAAAATTTCATATTTTATTTCATGTTATATAAATTTTGTATTCTTCTGTAATTAAGTATCAACATTTGAAGTTGCCACATTTAATCATTCAAAAACATCTTCATCAAAGCATCTCAAAGGTGCAAACATAAGTAATTGTCAACATTTTGGAAAGAATCCTACAGAAACATAGAATATGATAAGAGAAACCCCCAACATGTTTCTTGGAAGACAAACAATTGTTTTCCTATGGCACAGATGTTTTTCAGACAGTTCGACCAATCTTGAAGATGATACAGATTGTTTATGGAATTGAAAAATGCAAATGGCATTAACATTACCATCTGTGAGTTGAATGAAAAGACACATGTGCTACCCTGTGTGATCTCATTGAAATTTTCATCTGATTATTTAAAAAAAATAAAATTATAGCTTTCTAACTGAAGAATAACATATATCTAAGGTTTGTTAAGTTATAAATTTCATTTCTTTTTCTAAGAATGAAAATTTAGTAGATATGTCTATGAATAGTTAGCTATGATAAATACCATTTTCTGAAAAATATAGAATCGTTTTACATAAATGCCTTCAACTAATACCCCATTCCCCTTACAATCAAACAACAGTTCAAGAATTAGGTTTTGTGTTGTAAGCACACATGGGGGAAGAAAAAACTGGAATTTTCAACAAAAGGACCCCTAATAGTATGAAAACATTATTATTCCAAACAGGTTTTATAAGCATTGGCCTTGTATTGTGTACAATATGTTTTAACATCAATGCTAATGACATATTCACAACATACAGACTGCACTGTATGCACATGTTTCCTTCGATATGAATGTGTTTTAACATGATTTTCTTTTTTCTCAATATTGTTTATTGCTTCAATAAAAGTGAATGTTTTATGATTTCTATATATAAACATCAAAGAAAACAACACCAAGAGCTTGTCACAGACCCTACTGGTAATAATCCTGAATTATTCCCTACCTCAACCCATATAAATATGGAAATTGACTATGAAGAATTTGTTTCAAATTACATAATTAGGAAGAAATTATGCTTCTCCAATTTAAGGAAACTGAAGTAATTAATTGCAGGGAACAAATGTAAATTTTTTTGAGTTACCACAGGATGTTAGTAATGTATCAAATATCATTGTTTATTTACAATTTTATAACCATACTTATAGCAACCACATTTTTTTCACTGATGAAAATATTAATAATCATAATCACCAGAATAATCCTTAGTCTATCTACATCAACCAAGTATCATCCATCTACATTTTATCCTTTTTGAGTCATGGCAGGATCTAAATTTCTTGGGACAGACAGAATGACAGATGGAGTGAAAAATTATCAAAGATTTAAGCCTTGTACCTTCAGAAAAGAATGTTTTTTTCTATATGTACATATTAAATGAAATGTACATATTAAGTGAAAATCAATGGTCAGGGCCAATTTTTGACCCCTTGGCTATGATGTGAACAATCTTGGTAGAGGTCCAATAGACAATGCCTTATTCAAAATATCTAAGCTCTCCTCCTTGTTGGTCTTAAAAAGAAGATTTTTGATTTTTTTCTCCTAATTCCTTTTGGTTGCCATGGCAACTAGATTTCTGCATGGAATAAAATTCTTTGAATAACTTTAGAAGCCCCAAAGTTGAATCGCTACATATGCCACCTCATCTCACAAGCTGTGGTGATATAAGAAACTAGAAATGTGTCTATAGGACACAGTTGCCCCAACTCTCCACTGTCCACTGACGTATTGCAGGACAGTATGACAGAGGGACAGACAAACTACATTCTTTATGACTCCCATTACCCCTAAGTGGTTGGGGCATAAATCAACATCCAGTTTTTCCAATGTTGCCATACTGATTTCTCCCAAACCAGATGCACAACTACACAGACTGACCAACAGTCGTGCAAAGTTTAATGTCTCAAGGTCAAATACTTTATGAACTGTGCAAAACAGAATTTGAAAATTGAAAATTTGCATTAAGTCAAAGACAACAACCTTAAAAAAGCAGAATGAATCCACATGCAAAACGCAAGGTGTACAGCTTTCCATGCTGATTAACATTCCTATAAAGTTTGATGGTTCTATATCAAGCACTTTAAGAGGTACACATGACACAACATTTTGAAACTTTCTTTTGTCAAGGGCACTAACTCTACAAATTCTGATCAAGTTTACAAGCAAACCCCCAGGAACACAACTACAAATGCTGACCAATACTTCTGTAAAGTTTCATGACTCTAGGTCAAATAATTTTGAGGCTAAGTGTGACACAAATTGAAAATTGCAAAATTTAATTAAGTCAAGCTCAAAAACTCACATGACTGAATTGATCAACATGCCAAACCTCAGGTGCACAACTTCACAAGCTGATCAACATTGCTGTAAAGTTTCATGACCCTAGATCAAATTAAGAAGTAACATCGGCTGGAGAGGTGTATATCGGCTATTTAACACCGGTTTGGAGTTTTGATGCGTAGGAATTGACCACGAAGGCCGTAGGCCTGAGTGGTTAATTTTGTCGCATCAAAACGACAAAACCGGTGTTAAATAGCCGATATACACCTCTCCGGCCGATGTTATTTAGATTCTAATATGATAAAATAAGGAAAATCACTAATGTTATTTTTCAAGCGGAAATAACTTCCGGTGCCGATTTTCCTATAACGCTGTTCGATTTTCGCACCCTACTGTTGCAAAGATATAGAAATTATTAAACAAAAGAAATAAACGTTATTTTATCAAGTTTTCAACAATAACAAGCAATTATCATAGTATTGCAAGCAATCCATAAGTCCCCTACCGGTAAGAACCCCATCAACATTCTGAAGGGCCATTGGCCATTCACTTATGTTTCAATTTTTCTCTATTTTAAGTAAACTTGTTGGAAAAGTTCTTTAAAAGTGATCACAGGAAACAGTTTTTATGAACAGACAGACAGACGGACTGAAGGACACTCAAAAGTTAATATTTGAAACATCCCTGTTACCAAAATATAACATTTTAAAAGCAGGAGGAGATGCAATTTCATAAAAATTTTCAGCTCTTTTTGACTAATCACAAATATTGTTATATTTGCCATGTTTTAAGCCTATTTGTTGCCAAGGCAACTGATATTTTTTCAAAATAGGAAGAACAGATAAGACATGCATAATCTCAACACTGCTATCTACCCATATGTCAAGTTTCATAAAAATATTTCCAGTACTTTTTGAGATATCACTGGATTCAGTTTATGTGTAAAATTTGCCATATTTTCAGTCTATGTGTTGCCATAGCAACCAGAATTTTCAACATAGGAAGAAAAGAAAAAGACGTGCATAATCTCAAGACTGCCATCTACCCATATGTCAAGTTTCATAAAAATATTTCCAGGACTTTTTGCTTTATCACTGGATCCAGTTTATGTGTAAAATTTGCCATATTTTCAGCCTATTTGTTGCCATAGCAACCAGAATGAATTTCAACATAGGAAGAAAAGAAAAAGACTTGCATAATTCCAAGACTGCCATCTACCCATATGTCAAGTTTCATAAAAATATTTCCAGTACTTTTTGCGTTATTTATGTGTAAAATTTGCCATATTTTCAGCCTATTTGTTGCCATAGCAACCAGAATTTTCAACATAGGAAGAAAAGAAAAAGACGTGCATAATTCCAAGACTGCCATCTACCCATATGCCAAGTTTCATAAAAATATTTCCAGTACTTTTTGCGTTATCACTGGATCCAGTTTATGTGTAAAATTTGCCATATTTTTAGCCTATTTGTTGCCATAGCAACCAGAATTTTCAACATAGGAAGAAAAGAAAAAGACGTGCATAATCTCCATACTGCCATCTATCCATATACCAAGTTTCATAAAAATATTTTCAGTACTTTTCAAGTTATCGCGGGATCCAGTTTTGTGGATGGACGGACTGACGGACGGACGGACGGAGGGTAAACCTAAAGTCCCCTCCGGTAAACCGGTAGGGGACTAAAAACTTACGTCGTATTGTTTTTACATCAGTGCCCCATTTATCACTTGTATGTATGAAATAACGTCAGCTTGTTTATGAATGAGTTGTTTACTTAGGATGACGTCATTACGCTGCTTACGGATTGGCGCCGTTTTGTCAAAATATTAATAACTGATATGGATCTAATATGTGGCGTTAGTGTATGTGAGATATTATTTCAGTATTGTATGAAAAGAAAACATTATACGAACTGAAAATATAGATAAAAATGCTTTTTATTGTTGCTTTAAAAGACCTTATAACTATGCAATCGAGAGTGAAAACATAACAGCGCATATTCAAGTAGTCCCTAACAGGTGTTTATTGGCAGTTTAACACCCGTTTTTTTTCCTTCTTTGTCTATAGTGACAAAATCACATGAGTGTTAGAATATATATTTTGACTGTGTGAAACACAAGTTGAAAATTTCAAAAAATAATTTACTAAGTCAAGAGCAATTACTTGGACAAAACTGAATCTATCCACAGGTCAAATCCCAGGTGCACAACTTCAGATGCTAGCCAACACTTCATTGACACTTTGTCAAATACCTTGTGAGCTATGTGCATAAAAATAGAGCAATAGCTCTGACAAAACTGAATAAATTCACAAGCCAATCCTAGGTGCACAACTACACATGCTGATCAACATTCCTGTGAAGTTTTATGCCTATATATGTCAAATAATTTTTGAGGTATGCACAACACAAATTGAAAATTGCCAATTTTACTATATCAAGGTAAAAAACTCTGACAAAACTGATTAAATCAACAAGCAAATATCCAAGTGGAAAACTTCAGATGCTGATCAACATTGCAGTAAATTATTTTTTTCACTCCAGCTAAAGCACTTTTAAGGCTACATGGGACACAACAGGAGAAAGCATGCACAAACAAACAGATGGACAGACAAGGGCAAATCTAAATGCCCCTCCCCACAGTTGGGGCACATAAAACAAGAGAGCCATGATAGCCCTTACATCGCTCAATCCCATTTTATTTGGGTTTTTGGTCCAAGATGACCCACATTCGAACTTGCCCTAGAAATCATCATCAACCTTCCTGACCAATTTCTAGGATACGAGATCAAAACTGCAGCCTAAAGATATATCTATTACTAATTCCTAGGACCTAGTTTTTGACCCATGATGACCCATATTTCATCTTGACCTAGAAAACATCAAAATAACTTTCCTGGCAATTTCCAGGATATTTGGTTCAAAAGTGTTTTCAAGATTTTTCTATTTTTAGAAGCTGTAACCTAGTTTTTCACCAGAAGTGACCAATATTCTACCTTAACCTAGAAATCATCAAAAAAAATCTTTATGACCAATTTCAAAAATATTTGGTCTCAAGCAAAAACCCCTAGAGTGTTAACAAGATATTTCTATATTTGGGTTATGTTTTTGACCTGAAATGACCAATATTCGAACTTGACCTAGAAATCATAAAAACAACCTTTTATATCAATTTCCAGGATATTTGGATCAAAACTACATCCACTGGAGTGTAAACAAGATTTTTCTACTTAAAGCTCCTGTGACCTAGTTTTTGACCCGAGATGACCAATATTCGAACTTGACCTAGAAATCATCAAACACCCTTCCAAATGAATTTCCAGGATATTTCGATCAAAACTGCAGCAACCAAGTTTTAACAAGATTGTCCTATTTTTAGCTCCTGTGACCTAGTTTTTGATCCCAGATGACCCATATTTGAATTTGACCTGCATCAAATTGAGACAAACATTCTGACAAAGTATGATTATGATCCAATCAAAACTGTGACTGTTAGAGTGTTAGCAACCCAAATTTTGACAATGCACAACATAGCCCCATCACTATACCTCACCTTGACCATTTTGTGGTCAAGTGAGCTAAAATAGCATCAGCTGCATAGACCATGGGTTTAGGTAAAACTTCAACCAGAACAATTTAACTAGAACTTGGGCCTAGTGTTAAATTAGTTATATTACACTCATGAGATCCTCATTTTCATAAAATTAGGATAGTAATGTAATGACTTTATTTGTTACTAAGACTTAGTGAAAAAGTTGAAATACTTATACATTTCGTAGCATATAATGGTTGTATAAATATTCTTAAAAATTATGGTGCAGATGAGCAGATGAAAAGGAGAAAAAGAGATAAATAATGAAATTTTCACAGTGACACTATGGTTTACTTTTTTCTAACATTTTTTCTTTTCACCTTCTTTACAAAAATATTCTGTGGATATATAAGTGGATATTTCTATGTGTCATAAAGTTAGCGAATTTAGAATTCAAGATATTTTGCTGGAGAAAATATAAGTGAATCGTGGAATGGTAGGAAATTCTAGCGATTTTGTTCAATTTGCGGAATTCACCAACATTTTTGCATCGATAACTTACCATTTACAGTAATTTAAAATGACAAATAGAACCTTACCACTTTCACAGCTTCCACCCGGATTAAAACCACTATCATCATAGTAATAGGAGCCACATGTGCACTTGTTATCCAGGCAGGCAGCATTGGTATCAGCACATTCATTTGATATATTTGAACACTGTACTCCTAAATCTTTCCCTGACAAAACAAGAGTGTTCAGTGATCACATGTGTAGCTTGATAATTACAAATAAAGCAATTGTATTAAGGGGGGATTGGACAGTTTGTTGGCAACTTTGTACCATGTAGCATGTTGCAGCTACAGTGTAGCAGGCGAAAAAAATGCCTTTTTTATTCATTGGCCACAACTCGGTCCTAAATTTTTCAAGCAGAAAATATGTGTGAGTATTTCAGGTGATGATTGATCCTGTAAAGTTTCATTTAAATTGCATTATAATGTAGAACAGGAAAAAACTTTAAAATTAAGAGTACAGCATACAGTTTTAATGCTCGTCTGAAAAATATTCTATTTCAAAAAGAGGCATAACACAAGAAATATTGCTGTCAGAATTATGCCCCTTGCCATTCAACTACTAGTGATAAGCAAACATTCCAAGTTTGATGTTTGATACCTTCTGAAATTTTTGAATAGGTTTTGCACAACGACACCAACAAAGACAATATAGATGATGCTGCAATAATCAAAATCACTTGACATTTTCTTAAAGCTAATGAAAAATAATTAAGGACCATAACCCTGACTAAACAATTTCACTGTAAAATGCAGACGATATGCATACCTAACATTAGTACTGACAAGTCCTGAAAAGTTTGGATGAAATTTCAAGAGTAATTTTTTAGGAGTAGTCCGCACAAGTTTTGTGACAGATTGACAGACAATCGAGAAGTGAAGCATATTATGTCACTGCTACTTATAGCAGGCAACACAAAAACACACAAAACAATCATGATAAAATACTAGATGGACTTTGTAAAACACAAGCTGTCTGTAATGTACAGTGCTGCATTATTGTGTCAGGGTTAAAAATGCACTTTTTATAGACAACTAGAACTATCGCTGAATGGGATTCATACCCCCATCAATGTCCTTGACAGAAGACCACTTGGAAAGGTGGTTAAGGGAATAACTTTAGTGGCACAAATACATATACATAAAAAGAAATTATCTCTGGTGAAAAAAAGACAAATTGTTCAGGTAATAGTATAAATATATATTGTCAAATCATGTTCGAAACAGTTACAAATAACCTTTCATTTTCCCAATGTACTAAAACAAACAAAAGCAGTGAAGTTAAGAAAATAGCATAATTATGTCAAAATGTAATTAAGAGTGGAAAAACTTTGCATACTGAGCTTACTTGTGACCCTTCATATATTATATAGTTTCAAATGAATACCTGTTCTAGTTTCAGAAACATTTAAGTATTAATGGTTACATTTTCTAAGCCTAAATGGGGCATAACTTGTGTCATAATTCAATGAAATTTTAGTCATCTGAGCTTGCTTGTAACCATTCATATAAATATTAAGTTTCAAGTAAATATCTGTTCTGGTTTAAGAAATATTATAGTAAAAAAATTTAAAGACATAAAAATGGACTTTAAACTTTGACAAATACAATACAAAGTTATCCCCCCTCCCCCCATTTTTTCGTTATGAAACTTGACCTGCACAGCTTACTTGCGACACTTCGTATATATTTTGAGTTTCAAGCAAATACCTTTTCTAGTTTCAGAAATATTCAAATACATGTTAAAATTTAAGAATATTTTCTAAGTCAATTTTTGACCTTCAAGTGTGACCTTGACCTTAAGCCGACCGATGCGACAAAGCGAATCCATTATAGCCCCCCCCCCCCAACATATTGTGGTGGGGGTATAACTAGTCCAATATTCAGACTTAAATATAACAAGATATGTTTGTAAAACATGTATGCCCCCTATCAGCAGCCAATTAGTCATGTGATAAGGTTATTATGCATGACTTCTGACCCAGTGATCAAAAAATTAATAAGGGTTATCAAGTATCTACTGGTCATGACCTTAACCTTTGACCCCTTGACCCAAAACTCAATAGGGGTCATCTGCTGGTCATGACCAATCATCATACAAAGTTTGAAGTTCCTAGGCCTAAGCGTTTTTAGTTAATTGATCGGAAACCGTTTTTACCTACAAGGTCAATGTGACCTTGACCTTTGACACCTTGACCCCAAAATCAATAGGTCATCTGCTGGTCATGACCAATCACCATACCAAGTTTGAAGTTCCTAGGCCTAAGGCTTCTTTGGTTATTGATCGGAAACCGTTTTAACATACAAGGTCAATGTGACCTTGACCTTTGACCCCAAAATCAATAGGGGTCATCTGCTGGTCATGACCAATCACCATGCCAAGTTTGAAGTTCCTAGGCCGAAGCGTTCTTTAGTTATTGATCAAAAACCGGTTTTACTTACAATGTTCAATGTGACCTTGACCTTTGACCCCTTGATCCCAAAATCAATAGGGGTAATCTGCTGGTCATGACAAATCACCATACTAAGTTTGAAGTTCCTAGGCCTAAGTGTTCTTAAGTTATTGATCAGAAACCGTTTTTACTTACAAGGTCAATGTGACCTTGACCTTTGCCCCTTGACCCAAAACTCAATAGGGGTCATCTGCTGGTCATGACCAATCATCATACAAAGTTTGAAGTTCCTAGGCCTAAGCATTTTTAGTTAATTGATTGGAAACCGTTTTTACCTACAAGGTCAATGTGACCTTGACCTTTGACCCCTTGACCCAAAATCAATAGGGGTCATCTGCTGGTCATGACCAATCACCATACCAAGTTTGAAGTTCCTAGGCCTGAGGGTTCTTAAGTTATTGATTGGAAAGCATTTTTACCTACAAGGTCAATGTGACCTTGCCCTTCGACCCCTTAACCCCAATATCAATAGGGGTCATCGGCTGGTCATGACCAATCACCATATCAAGTTTGAAGTCCCTAGGCCTCAGGGTTTTTTCGTTATTGATCGGAAACCGTTTTTACCTACAAGGTCAATGTGACCTTGACCTTTGACCCCTTAACCCCAAAATCAATAGGGGTCATCTGCTGGTCATAAACAATCACCATACCAAGTTTGAAGTTCCTAGGCCTTAGGGTTCTTTTGTTATTGATCAGAAACAGTTTTTACCCAAGAGGTCAATGTGACCTTGACCTTTGACCCCTTGACCCCAAAATCAATAGGGGTCATCTACTGATCATGACAAATCACCATACCAAGTTTGAAGTTCCTAGGCCTAAGGGTTCTTTTGTTATTGATCAGAAACCGTTTTTTACCCAAGAGGTCAATGTGACCTTGACCTTTGACCCCTTGACCCCAAAATCAATAGGGGTCATCTACTGGTCATGACCAATCACCATATCAAGTTTGAAGTTCCTAGGCCTTAAAGTTCTTTAGTTATTGATCGGAAACCGTTTTTACCTACAAGGTCAATGTGACCTTGACCTTTGACCCCTTGACCCCAAAATCAATAGGGGTCATCTACTGATCATGACCAATCACCATACCAAGTTTGAAGTTCCTTGGCCTTAAGGTTCTTTAGTTATTGATCGGAAACCGTTTTTGCTTACAAGGTCAATGTGACCTTGACCTTTGACCCCTTGACCCCAAAATCAATAGGGGTCATCTACTGGTCATGACCAATCACCATACCAAGTTTGAAGTTCCTAGGCCTAAGGGTTCTTTAGTTATCAATCGGAAACCATTTGGTCTACGGACCGACGGACCGACGGACCGACAGACCGACGGACCGACGGACCGACAAGTGCAAAGCAATATACCCCCTTTTCTTCGAAATGGGGGCATAATAATTATGTCAACTAAAAAATATATTTATGATGTTTGGGAAAAGTTAGTTTCCTACTTTGCCAACAAACTTTACCACTTTATTTCAATTATTGTCATAGATTTCATTGTTATTAGTTCAGTATATATTACATACTTCTAGTACAAGTTCCACCAGCCCCACTTCCATTATCATCATAATATCCACTGTTACATCTACAGTTTCCTCCACTTGACTGGCATGTAGCGTGTGGTGACTTACAGGAATCAGTTGCAGTTGTTGAACATCCAGTTGACCCTAATTCAATTTCTAGAAAAAGGAAGAACACATTTAGATTGCAAGTTTTTTACATTCAATGAAATGTATATTTGATAATTGTAACACTTTCAAAACGTCTTATCATGCAACACATAAATGCCCTACCTGACATCACAATTTTATATGAAGGGAGTACCATAAACAAAATAAATGTTTTTTTATATAATTAAAGGGCATATGATTCTTAAGGACATTTTTGGGAGTTTTCATATAGACAGATAGGCAAAATTAATACTCACGGTTCAATAGAATTTCTTTAAACTTGGCATGTTGTTAGAATATGATAACAGAAACATTTATAGCGAAAGAAAAATTGGGGTCACCGTTCTCGTTTTTGAGGTATCTGCCCCTGAATCAGACTTTTCTACTTATTTGAGGTCATTTAAAGGGCACATACCTAGGATGCTGAGCAATATTCTTGTAAAGTTTCATGACTCTAGATCAAATACTTTTTGAGCTACATGCAACGCAAAATGAGAACGGACAGATGGATTGATAGACAGACAATGGTAAATCTTAAAGAATCAAATACTTTTGACAACCTTATTTATTTAAAATAAACTTAATCACCTTCATGTCAATTATTGTCATAGTTTTCAGTGTAACAAAATCAATATCTTCCATTTGAGGTTATAGATAAAAATAAAGTAAAATAATTCATACTTTGCCTACAAGTTCCACCAGCCCGACTTCCATTATCATCATAATATCCATCGTTACATTTACAGCTTCCTCCATTAGACTGGCATGTAGCGTAAAGTGACTTACAGGAATCAGATACAGTTGTTGAACATCCAGTTGATCCTAATTCAATTTCTAGAAAAAAAGAGCAGAAAGAAACATTTGAAAACAATTAGAAAATAATTCATTAATGATAGTTGATGAGCTGTAATAAACCATTATGCCATGAAAAAAAAACACCAAAAAATAAAGACCCAAGGTTGAATAACATTTTCACCTATAAATTTCAAATAATGATGCCTATTAATGCAAGTAAGTGGCACATTGATCAAATGACTACCTTTTTACTTCTCATTAAGTAAAATTTTTGGGCATGCATGAACACATCTATCTAATTGATTCCAAGCATCAACCACACAAAAAACGGAATATTTTATTTGAGTGTAGGCTGTGTAGGTGAAACACAAAAACATGATAGAAATATGAAAAAGTTGAGTTCATGATCTTCATTTTCTGCCTTTTTCAGTTTCTGGACCTATCTGAATTTAGTCATAAAAGTGGGCTTGTATAATTATATATGTTCATATAAAGCTAACATAACATCTCACACATCACTGGTTTTATCCATATCAGTTGATAAAATGTATCAGAGAACAAGAAAAGTCGAACAACACAATCTTATGCCCCCTTTCTAGCCCTTGACTCACATATTTGGAAATTTTGTTATAGAAACTTGCCATAGATGGGTACATGAAGTGTTCAGTTATGGAAAAAAGAAAAATAATGACCTACTAGTTAAAACCAATCCATTATGTGAAATATAAAGTGCTTGACCTTTGAACTACATGTAGTGACCCAATTATGACTAATTTGTGATAAAGTTTTCATGGTAATAAGCAAAACCATATTTACATTTAAGGCCCCTGTGACCTTTGAACTAGTGATTTCAAAATCAATAGGAGTCATCTACTATATATGGCTATTCAATATGTGAAATATGAAGACTTTGTGATAAACAGTTTTCATGATAATGAGCAGAAACTATTCTGACATTTAAGGCACATGTGACCTTGACCTTTAACCTAGTAACCCCAAAATAAAAAGGGGTTATCTAATAATTATGACCAATCAAAATGTGAAATATGAAGACTTTGTGATAAATAGAAATCAATATAATGAGGGAAACCATTCTGACATTCCAGGCCCCTGTGACCCTGACCTTTGAACTAGTGAACCAAAAATCTATAGGGGTTATCTACTTGTTATGACCAATCACTATGTGAAATATGAAAACTTTGTGATAACAAGCTTTCAAGATATTGAGCGAAAACCATACTACCATTCAATGCTCCTGTGACCTTGACCTTTTACCTAGTGACCCCAAAATCAATAGGGGTCATCTACTAGTTTTGACCAATTAATATGTGAAATATGAAGATTTTGTGATAAATAGTTATAAAGATAATGAACAGAAACCATTCTAACATTTAAGGCCCCTGTGACCTTGACCTTTCATCTTGTGACCTCAAAATCAATAGGGGTCATCTACTAGTTATGCCCAATCAGTATGTGGCATATGAAGACATTGTGATAAATAGTAACCAAGATAATGAGCGAAAACTATTCTGATATTTAAGGCCCCTGTGACCTTGACATTTAACCTAGTGACCCCAAAAATAGTTATGGCCAAGCGGAAACCATTTTGACATTAGAGACCCCTGTGACCTTGACCTTTGACCCCAAAATCAACTAGGGTCATCTACTAGTTATGGACAATCACTGTGTGATACATAAAGACTTTTTCATAAATAGTTTTCAAGATAATCAGCAGAAACCATTTTGATATCTAAGGCCCCTGTGACCTTGACCTTTGACCTAGTCACAGGGGCCTTCTGTGTCTTTATAATTTCCGCTCATTATCTTCAAAACTATTTATCACAAAGTCTTCATATTTCACATACTGATTGGTAATAACTAGTAGATGACCCCTATTGATGTTGGGGTCACTAGGTTAAAGGTCAAGCTCACAGGAGCCTTAAATGTCAGAATAGTTTCTGCTCATTATCATGATAACTATTTATCACAAAGACTTCTTATTTCACATAGTGAATAGCCATATGTAGTAGATGACCCCTATTGATTTTTGGATCACTTGTTCAGTCAAAGGTCAAGGTCTTTACATTTTACATATTGATTGGTTATAACTAGTAGGTCATTATTTTTCTTTTTTCCATAATTGAACACTTCCATACAAGTTTCTATAACAAAATTACCTATAAAGGGGGCATATGTGTCGTTTGACATTTCTTGTTCAAATTTGTATCAAATAAAAGGTAACCATAAGAAGTATTAAATCCATTTTATTATTCAATATCTTTTAATTCCGCAACAATTTTTTTATCTGAGCTTTTAAAAATATTGATAGCTCAAATAAAATTATGTTCATCTAATTCCCATGCATGCACACTCTATTTGGAAATCCATAGGTACATATGGAAGGAAAAGTTTAAAATATTGCTTAGGTGACTAAGTATAATTGAAATCTACGAGTAAGATAGAAAATAAACTAGAAATGTGTCCATAGGACACGGGTGCCCCCACAGTCCACCAATTTGTCAATATTAGGTCTCTAGGTCAAATTTTTTTTTGGCTACATGTGCCCAAGTTGAAAACTAACAATCTTTTATTAAGTAAAGGGCAAATACTACAAATAATGAATAAATCCACAAGAAAACCCCAAGGTGCATAACTACACATGCTGACAAACATTCTTGTAAACTTTCAGGCGTACAGGTCAAATACTTTATGAGTTATGTGCAACACAAGTTGAATATTGTAAATTTTTACTAAGTCAAGGGCAATAACTCCAAAAATACTAGAAATATCCACAGGAAAACACCCAGGTGCACAACTGCACATGCTGAGCAACATTCCTGTAAGGTTTCATGACTCTAGGTCAATGGCTTTTTTAGCTACGCGCCACACAAGTTGAAAATTGGAAATTTTTACTAAGTCAAGGTCAATAACTCTAAATTTAAAATACTATAAATATCCACACCAAAATACCCTGAATACCCAGGTGCACAACTTCACATGCTGAGCAACATTTTGAAAGGTTTCATGACTCTAGGTCAAATACTTTTTGAGTTACATGCGTCACTCTAAAAATACTAAATATATCCACACAAAAAAATGCAGGTGCACAACTACACATGCTGATCAACATTCCTGTAAGGTTTCATGACTCTAGGTCAAATATTTTTTGAGTTACGTGTGACACAAGTTGAAAATTGGAAATTTTTACTAATTCAAGGGCAATAACTCTAAAAATACTTAATATATCCACACAAAAATACCCAGGTGCACAACTACACATGCTGATCAACATTTCTGTAAGGTTTCATGACTCTAGGTCAAATATTTTTTAAGTTACGTGCGACACAAGTTAAAAATTGCAAATTTTTACTAAGTCAAGGGCAATAACTCCAAAATACTAAATATATCCACATGAAAATACCCAGGTACACAACATCACATGCTGATCAACATTCCTGTAAGGTTTCATGACTCTAGGTCAATTACTTTTTTATCTACATGCCATACAAAAAGAGAACAGACGGACGGCCGACCAAATAGGGATAAAGGGCCATTTCTATTGTTATTTTCTTTTGTTTAATAGAGGGCCATGGCCCCTTATATTATTGTTACGGAATGAATTTTACTGTTCTCTTTTGTTCTGTTTACAGTTAGATTGCCCCCTATTCCTATTTGGTAGTGAGGTTGGACGGAGGACAAGGGTAAATCTAAATGCCCCCCCCCCCCCCTATAGTGGGGGCACAAAAATAACCTTATGATGTTGTGAACATAATTATTACCAAATTAATTCTTAATTCTTTCACACACTAAAAAGTAAGAATATCATGGTATTGTCTGGTAGTTTGTCTGAATCCAGTAAATATTGCAATATGAATGTAAGGTGCATGAATATAACATGTAATATTTATTTGTGGAATAATGTTATGAACATGATGCAAGTGTTTATTTTGCTGATTATTTATTTTTCATTTTTGATATTGACCAGATGGTGAGAGTAAACCATATCTATTTCCTAATCCATTCCAAAGGATGATGTTTAAATGAAAATAAGTCACAAAGTTAAATATTTTTGTAACAATTACTAAGATTTGACATGCATGTTGTAAATATAATAATAGTATCAATCTAAACCTGAATTCAATCACAATCAGTTACAAAAAACACTAGAACTCCGCGAGTCGGATGTGTCGCCTTGTGAACAATGTAGTTTAGGAGAAATGGCCAGGACAAAAATGAAATATGAAAAATAACAAAGGGCAATAACTAAAAAAATAATAAGTGCAGAGCAGCATATCTGTGCACTGCATTTCTTATCAATAAGATCTATCAGTCTATGATGTTTCAAGTCCATAGCTTTCATACTTGAGGAGAAATGACCAGGACAATATAAAGTAAGAAAATCAACAAAGGGCAATAACTCAAAAAATAAGAAATGCAGAGTATCAGTTCTTATGCACTGCACTTTTTCTTAATGAGATCTATCATCCTATGAAGTTTCAAGTCCATAACTTTTATACTTTCCGAGAAATGGCCTGGACAAAAATTAAGTATGAAAATCAACAAAGGGCCATAACTCAAAAATTAAGAAATGCAGAGTACCGATTCTTGTGCACTGCACTTCTTCTTAATGAGATCTATCATCCTATGAAGTTTCAAGTCCATAGCTTTTATACTTAAGGAGAAATGGCCCGGAAAAATTTAAGTATGAAAATAAACAAAGGGCAATAACTCAAAAAATAAGAAATGCAGAGTATCAGTTCTTGTGCACTGCACTTCTTCTTAATGAGACCTATCATCCTATGAAGTTTCAAGTCCATGGCTTTTATACATTAGGAGAAATGGCCCGGACAAAAATAAAGTATGAAAATTAACAAAGGGCAATAACTCAAAAATTAGGAGGTGCAGAGTACCGGTTCTTGTGCACTGCACTTCTTCTTAATGAGATCTATCATCCTATGAAGTTTCAAGTCCATAGCTTTTTTAGTTTTAGAGAAATGGCCCGGACAAAATTAAAGTATGAAAATTAACAAAGGGCAATAACTCAAAAAATAAGAACTGCAGAGTACCGGTCCTTGTGCACTGCACTTCGGGTTATTGAAAGAAGCATGCATACCAAGTTTGAAGTCAATCAGACTTATAGTGACTGAGTTATGCTCAGGACAAGCTTTAGGGGACGCCGACGACGACGCCGACAACGACGCCGACACAGACGCCGCCGACAAAAGTAACCCCTATATGTCACCTTTTCAAGGCGACACAATAATATTCACTCATTAGGATATTTATTCACAGATTAGATTGAAGGTACTTTAAAGGTAAGATATCAAAAATTTATTTTGGACTTTTGAATTTTAAAGTTGCACATTATACATACCATACCAAATATCTATTTCTTTAACCTTTCTGTTTAAGAGAAGGGTATTTTAAAATCTTTTTTTGAATGTAAGTCATGTGAACTTTGACAATGATATGTAGGAATTATGCCAACTAGTTTAGTACCATTTGACTTATTCATTTACAGTAAAGACTGTTTACAGTGACCTTCGATGGGAGAAAAGAAAAAAGGTCATTATAGACAGGGAGTCACTGTGGACAGTCTCTTCATAATTCGGATATATGAACATATAATACCATTATTTTGTTGAAAAGCAGGATAGTCCCATACTAAGGGTTTAATTATATTTTTATTGATATTATACATATCAAATATCATTTATAAAAAACAAGAGAGTATTAAAATTGCATGTATAATTGGTTAAGATTATAAACTACACCATAACATTAGTAGTTAAAAGTTACATATTCATTAAAATGTAATTTATATTGATAAATTTGTTTGTTAAAAAAATGATTAATTTCAAATTTACTAATGAGATGTTACTGTAGAGACATTTAATTTTGTATAATCAGCCTGTTTACTTTACGGAGTTCAATGTATTAATAAAACATTAAATACAAAAAATTAACAATCGAGGTTTCAAACATAACCACACCTGTAAAATATGATAAACAAGATCAACAAGGAAAGGCGGCGTTCAATGAACGCAAAGACGATTGGCATTGTATATCTTTACTCTCCAAAACACCGCAGCAATTATGTATATGCAGGTGTCTTTAATCATTCTATCGGCGAAAAGTGATTGAATCTGTCGCCATTTTGTGTAATTGTCAAAAAACAGCCACAGTGTATTAGCGTGTCGCCGATTGGTCAATGCAAACTACCGTAGATACAACGCGCGTTCTGATTCGTCAAACACATGAATACATAATGAGAAAGATAAACATAGTGAACTCTTGCCTTGCGGCGTGTTTTGAACTTTGTTGATGTTGACAAGCGTTCTTAATTAGCGGATTAACAGTAATTGGTTGTAATTGAGAGGTAAACAAATTATTAACAGACCTAGCGGCGTAAATAAGTATGATGGAAAATTATAAAAATCGGGCGACTTCAAAATCTCTTTGAAGTTTGTTTTAGGCAAAGTCGCTGATCCGAAGGCGACTTCTACGATAAAGTCGTCACCTAGTTCAAGCCTTGCTCCTCTTGCAAAAGTCGCTGTTCACGGCTCAAATACCGTAACGGGTGACTAAATCATGGTCGTTGTACGGACTAGACAGGGAGTCGCTACATACAGACCATTTATATAGTAAATACTGTTCGGCGCACCTAACTATGGTCACTAAAGACAGAACGTCGCTATATACAGGGGGTCGCTAAGACAGTCTTTACTGTATCTTAGTTTACCAGTCCTATATTTAAATATCTATACCTCAACTAAGAATAAATTTGTGATATTTGGTTTCTTCAATTACCTTCAAACTGCACCTTTAATTCCATAGTTTTCAGTGTTACAGAATCAATTTGACCTTATCAATAAAAATAAAGTAAAATAATACATACTTCTAGTACAAGTTCCACCAACAGCCCAACTTCCATTATCATCATAATATCCATTGTTACATTTACAGCTTCCTCCATGTGACTGGCATGTAGCATAAGGTGACTTACAGGAATTAGTTACAGTTGTTGAACATCCAGTTGATCCTAATTCAATTTCTAGAAAAAGATATAATCATATTTAGAACGTTTTTTTTTACATTAAATGCTTTATTGGATGGTTAAAATAAAAGTAGCTGAAGACAGTTTATGGGTCATGAACAGTCCAAAATTTATAAGATTTGGTCTTCTCATATGAGGTATAATGATCAAAAAGTTTTCAGCCCGATATACTTCTAGCAACAAAACTGACATTTACATAATACGTTTATACCAATATCTAAATGAAGATTACTGACTGGCAATTTTACACAGATTAAAATTATTAACATAAAACACACTTTGATCAGTAGAAGGGTGTGTCATTTAGACCAAATGGAGAAAGTTTAAACCAGAGCTGTCATTAAGTACCTCTGTAAGAAAGGGGAGTCACCGAGGATATCCATTATGATGGATACACTTGGTAAGGAGTCCCCTTCCTAAACTACTGTGAAAAAATGGGCTGCTGAAATTAAGAGGGGTAGGGAGAGCATTGGAGGTGATGAGGGGCCTGGGCGGCCAAAAGAGGCCACCAACGATAAAACGAACGTCTTTGGCTGTGCACGATCTGGTCATGGGCAACAGAAGGAAAGACCTGCTAAGCATTGCTAAGGAAGTGGGTATAAACTTTGGTTCAGTTCAGGCAATTCTGGCTGATGTCTATGGCATGCCAAAGGTTTCAGCTAGATGGGTTCCCAGATAGTTGACTGAAAACCAGAAAAGGACCAAGCTTGACATTTCAAGATATCTTTTGTCTCGCTACAAGGATGACATCACTTCGGACCAGAATCAAAACAAGAGGGCCATGATGGCCCTGAAGTCGCTCACCTGTATATAGGCCACCCGGAGCCGGACCAGTTTAAACCCCAGGGCTTTTATTTGAACAAACTTGGTAGACACCCATTAGAAGATGTTTCTTGCTAAACATCTAAGGTCTAGCTCGTTGGGTTTTTTAAAAGACAATTTTTTAAGTTTTTTCTTTACACATATATTTAAAAACAATGACACCCCTGGGGGAGGGTCAGTTTTGACCCCGGGGATTTTATTTGAACAATCTTTGTAGACACTAATACTAGAAGATGTTTCATGCTTAATATCTAAACTCTAGCTCTTCGGGTTTTTTCAAAGAAGATTTTTAAGTTTTTACTATACACATTTAAGGAAAATCTTTGTCCCCAGGGGCGGGGCCAATTTTGACCCCATGGCTCTTATTTGAACAAACTTGGTAGACATCTATTAGAAAATGTTTCATGCTAAATAGCTTAGCTCTAGCTCTTTGGGTTCTTTAAAAGAAGATTTTTAAGTTTTTACTATATTAATAAAGGGAAAATCAATGACCCCCTGGGGCGGGGCCAATTTTGACCCCAGGGCTCTTATTTGAACAAACTTGGTAGACATCCATTAGAACATGTTTCATGCTAAATATCTTAGCTCTAGCTCTTTGGGTTCTTTAAAAGAAGATTTTTAAGTTTTTACTATATGCATATAGGGAAAATCAATGACCCCCTGGGGCGGGGCCAATTTTGACCCCAGGGCTTTTATTTGAACAAACTTGGTAGACACCCATTAGAAGATGTTTCGTGCTAAATATCTTAGCTTTAGCTCTTTGGGTTCTTTAAAAGAAGATATTTTAAGTTTTTACTATATACATATTGGGAAAATCAATGACCCCCTGGGGCGGGGCCAATTTTGACCCCAGGGCTTTTATTTGAACAAACTTGGTAGACACTCACTAGAAGATGTTTCATGCCAAATATCTAAGCTCTAGCTCTTTGGGTTTTTTAGAAGAAGATATTTACTCTGGAAAACACTTAGTCATTTTTGAGAAATTTTTGGACTTGGGAAATTTTCATTTGATTTCTGCATTTACATATACCGGTACTTCACTAAATACATTTAACTTAAATATTTTTTCTTAAATAGGCATAAATAATCTTTTTAATATAAGACAGTTTTCTGGTTTTAAGACATAATGAAAATAAAGACAATTTAAGATATGGTTAATTGTTTACCAGAATTTTTAAAACAGCAAGAACAAATGAATTTAATTACTTAGCATTGAGATTGGTCATAGATGTGTACTCACTGTAATTAAAAGTAGCAGTTAGCAAAATAAACACTTATAGTTAAACAAAATGAAACTCTAATAAGCCCCTCAAAAGCTTAACTGTTTCTTTTTTTATTGCAAAAAAACAACAACACTTAAACTAAAAAAAAACACATGCAACCCCATTGACGCACTTTGGCATTGAAAATGCATTAAGAAATTTTTTTTTCATTTAACTCTCATTATTTTCAAGGTATCTCATATCAAGCCTGATCTGAGTGGTTCATTATTATATATTACCCTAAGTTAGAAAAAATTAATACACAATTTAAGAGAAACAAGTTAAATTTAAGAACAAATGTAATTGTTATGCACTTATGTTTCTTTATTAATTCATGATAAATTTATTATGTATCTCAATTGAAGTATATATAATTTAAACATTCATCCTGTGTAAAAGTAAGTTATGTATAGTGATTAATTTCTGGAACATTCAAATCAGCATTGGCCACAATGTAAATATTTATGACCCCTCAACAAGGCCGTCGTCGATGGTCCGGCCGGACCAATATTTTGGCCAAAAATGAGTTAAAAAAAAAAATAAATAAAAAAAAACACGCATCGCTGAATAGCAATTTGACACTGAACTGGCCCCTTATGTAATACGCGGTAATATACAAACATGACGCGAAGAAACAACTGGACACTTTTTATTGACCAGGTATATGTAGGGGTCCTACGAAGTTAAGTATGAAGATAATTGACATCGACGTGGCTTCGAACAGTTCACCGTATATATATGTATATATATGCGCATTATGAATATCTTGAACTAGTATGCCTGAATTCTCCGAGAACTTGATAATATTTTATTGATTGTACACGGCAACCGTTCAAATGTCATATTTTTATCACATATCCGTGCCGTTTTTGCGACTCCTTGAAAATGGTATTGCACGGCAGTGCATGCATATATTTTGACGTCGTTTGCGTTATACGCGACTAAATGTTGGCGTTTTTCTATGGGCGTCAATGAAAAATTGTTCTTTTTCACTTCATAAGGTACTTATTTTTGGTTTGTAATAAACAGAATATTGAATTCGTGTAAGTTCATTACTGAATGTATTGAACTCGTTGAATAAAATATTATACTCGCCAGAGGCTCGCATAATATTTTTTCATTCAACTCGTAAGATAAATTCAGTAATAAACTCATTCAATTACTCTATTACATAATTACAGTGCAGGACGTGTTCCGGCCTAAGTATTTTGAAGATGGCCAGTTTTAAAGAAAGATTTGACCAATCGAGATATCGCGTACTTCAGAACATGGAGGATTTATTTATTAAGGCGGCAGAACCTTTGAAGACCGTTCACTAGAAAACTTGGTTTTGTTTGTGATTTATATGGTAACGATAATAACCGTGACATCTTAGAGGTGCAGCTTCAGTTGTTACGTTTACATTTTGACAAATCAGAAAATAGTACTGTTACCTGACGCTTTGAAATTTGTGTCAAAACAATCGGTGCTAGTACTGAGGTCGTTGTGTTGTTAAATATTTTGTTAGTTATGCCTGCTACTAATGCTACCAGTGAAAGGACATTCACGGAGCTCAGACGAATAAATGTGAAAATACACAGGGAGATAATAAGAACGGCGAGTGCATTATTGTAGAATAATGCACGCTTCCGGCCTTCTTTGTTTATATAGAAAAAATTCCGATAGTTTTAGGATGTTTATTTTTCATTCGCCAAATACCAATTTCATGTATTCATCTTTTATGTTCACCTGCTCGTCCGTTATGCAAACCTTAAATTTCACCCTTAAAACTTATGACGCACTTAAATCTGTAAAAAATCGTTGACAATTTACTTTAAAATGTTCTAGCGACAGGCTGTAAAATGTGCCAAATATACGGGAAAACGCTCCTGAGAGCATCCTAGAATAAAAAAATTCCGGGGGAGCATGCCCCCGTACCCCCCTAGATTCTGCCTAATATCTACCAAATTGGCCGCACCAATCACAAAATCGTGACGACGGGCCTGCTCAAGTGGAACCCACTACCAAAGTTAAACTCACCTATCTGATATAAGAGAATAGAAAGAGGTAAAGCAGGTTTACAACATACTATATTACACTGTAGTTCCCAAGTAACTTAATACCCTTGCAGAACAAATCACAGGTCAGAACACTCCTTCCAGGCGGGTCATTTGAACAGAAGCATTGAAAGATAATGTTTATTAGTGCCTAACTGCTTAAAAGTTATAACTTGAAATATTATGTTTGAGCATTGGAAATTAGATCAAATGAGTTTAAACTGGACAAATTTACAAAAGTTTTCTGGAAATATGAACTTTTAAACATGTGTATTTCATAATTCAGTAATAATGGAGGGAACTACATGTATTATAACCATTTTTAACAGTAAGTACAAATGTATATTTATTTTTTAACACTTTTTAGTTTTTTCAAACTTTCTTTGCAAGTGTACACTGTTTTAGTGATTGTATTTCTACATAAATGTAACTTTTCAATATTAATAGTTAAGAAAGTCTTTTTCATTTTTAAATAATGGCGGGAATTTTTAAATCAGAGATTATAATTTTCCATTCAAAATATTGGTGATTGAAACAGATTCCATATCAAGCAATGCATTTCCAAATTCACATTTGATAAAATTCATAATATGCCTTAATTGTAATTTTTTGTTACTCATATGTTTATTTTTTCAACATATTAGGTTGCAAACTTTCAAGTCTTGGAGTCATATGAGATGTTTCAACTCAAAGGATGTCAGATGAGGGAAAAGTGATAAATGTACTGTTGAATACAGAATGCTTACAGAACTATCCTGGTAATAATTTAGTTTGTTTTGTTGAAAAAAGTCGAAGTAACATGTTTTCATATATATGCATGCTATTTTCCAAACACTGAACAAAATGTTGTTCTTCATGTTTTATGCATATATTATTG